AGTGCAACTATTCGAATATAAAAAATAATTTTAGAAATTAACATTGTTATTAAATAAATACGAATTTTTAGTCGCCATAAAATATGAGATTTGCAGATAGATTTATTTTTCCGAGATTTGTAGATAAATAAATATAGATAAAACTCTATTTAACAATTAAGTGGCATTATGTTTCGAATAGTTTAAAAAAAAAATAAATGTTTTATTCGTTAAATGATTGACCGAAATTTTGCAACCTAATTTACATGTTTAAGCAAAAGAATTAAAAAAATGTAACGACATTAAATTTGACAAACAAAATGTCGTCACTATTGTTGTTATTTTAAACGATGCTTAAGTCTAATTCATCATTATATAATTGTTTATTATGATGATACATAATTCGTCATTATACAATTATTTATTATGTCGATAAATTATAATACATTTAAATTCGCCACATTAATAGATATTATGACAAAATTTAGTGAGACAAAATAAATATCGTTGTATTCGTTATTTATTTAAAATGACGCTTAAAAAATATTAGTCGTTATATAATTTTGTTTTGTGATGATAAGTTATAATTCATCTAAATTCGTCATAGTAACACATATTATGACGAATGTCACTACGACGGAAACCATTTTATTGTTTTTTTTTATGTATTTAAAATGACGCTTACAAAAAAATAGTCATTATATAATTATTTTTTTTGCGACGATAAATTATAATACATCTAAATTCGTCGTATTAATACATATTAGTGACGAAAGTCACTGTGACGAATCAAATCGTTGTGTTTTTATTATTTAAAATGATGCCAACGTATAATTCGTCATTATAATTTTGTTTAAACGCTTGATCTGACTGGTCAATTATATATTTTATTTAAAATAAGTTAATAAATATTTATTTATTTTCTAATAAAACAAATATATAAATATAAATATATTTGATAATTATAAATTCAAATATTAATTTATTTTTTTATTATTATATTAAAAAAATTTAATTACAATACAATGTTCTATAGTTCAAATATTTTTAATTAAATAATATATATATTTAGAAAAAAAAAATTAATTTTATTATAATTACAATGGTTGATAAACAATAAAAATATAAAATCCAGAGGTTGATAAAATTTTAAAAAATAAAAATATAATCAACTACTATTGTTTTGAAAATTAGGTCAAACTGACTGTTGAATCGAGAATCGGTCAACTAAATGTTTGGATTCCTTTGGACGAACCAGTTTCTAATGAACCAGTCATAATTGGATGATCGGACAGGTTATTTACATATTTTTTTAAATAAATTAATATGTATTTATATATTTTTAATATAACTTATGTATAAATACAAATATATTTAACATCATCATCATCAACATTATTATTATTATTATTATTATTATTATTATTATTATTATTATTATTATTATTATTATTATT